GGTGTCCAGCTGCACTCACAGCATCTCCACATGGAGAGTCGAGTGCCGTGACTCAGGCGAAGGGGGCGTGTGAGGGCCTGTAGGCCCAGGTGCTGCCCAGGGGCCAGAGGTCAGCTGGGACCTGCCCTTCCATGCCAGATGCTTGTGGTTTGATCAGCGGCCAGGCCTAGAGACCGCATCTGTGCACAAATTTTGTGTACTGGGCCTCTAGTTTAAAATAACAAAAACCTGGTTAAACATTTGCCAAGCAAGAGTCCACCTCTGAAGCAGCAGCCCAGGGCGACCTCCTCCTTTCCCCAAGGGCTTCATCCACCATTCCTTTTTGTCTCCCTAATAAATGAGATGTAAAATCCCTGAAGGCAGTGGGAGGGCCCAGGTAGAGAAGGCAGGATGTCTGCACAAAGGTGGCCCTAGGATTGATCTGACAAGTGACTGCCCAGGCAGGTCTCCCTTGGACGGGGCCAGCCCTGAGCTAGAAGTGTCCCTGGGAGATGATGGATGGTTTTGCACCGACTTTCTGAAAGGAAGGAGCCTACGGAGAGAGGTCCCAATTTGCAGCTCTTTTGTTCTTTTGTTTTTGTGAGCACTGACCTCTAGCTCCCTCCTGTCTCCTTCCTTCTCTCCTCCCCCACATAATTCTATGCCTTGAATCAGAATAAAAATAAAGAATAATCAGAGTCAAAAGACCAGAGGGCCCATCTCTGATGTCTTGTGTGGCTGATGAGGCCTTGGGCTCTAGCATATCTGACATCGATGGAATCGATGAGGCTAAATGAAAATGTGCAGAACATCGTGTTTTACATGCAGCCATTGGGAGAGAGGAGGCCCAGCCAGCAGGGTCTGGAGGAGCATGTAAAGGAGGAATTGGCCTGTGAGCTCTGGGACAGGAAGCCAGCAGGAGCCGAGGGAAACCCAGGCATGAAATGAGTAGAAAGAACACTCAAACCAGGTAAACACTGAACACAGGGCTTCTTTGTTTAGGTTGGAGGGGTCTTTTATGAGATTGTCAAGAATGTGCTCATTTTATAAAGTTGGTAAAGATGGGAGCCCTAAAACACGGTAGGGCTTTTGCTGAATGGGCGAACGTATGCAGGTGAGTCCCACATTTGGTGGCACGGGTTGAGGCCTCACTGCCAGGCATTACCTGGGCTGCATATGCACACTCTGCACCTTTCAGTAGCTTAAGACACCACACAATAGCAATTCAGTGCCTGACCTGGGCAAATTCAAATGCTGACAGGCAGACACTGACTGCCCTGGGCTAATGGGTTGGCATGTTCATTTCTATTGGGCTTCAGTCAAGTCACTTAGACACTGTTTGAGGCATTAACCAAGATTTAAAAATTTTTCCGAGTTCAGTGAATGGAAGATTAATTACTGTATATATTGAACCAGGCTTCAATGCTTCTTTAAATCCAGCGAACGTATAATTTGAATATTCCACTCTGACAATTCAACATTTCGTCTTCATGAAGCCTCGCTCAAAGAAATTTCAATAATGCTGTTTTCAATTAGCTACTTCCTGTCCAGTTAATAAAGCTAAAGTACTTAAGTCACCCACTACAGTCCCAAGTCTCCTGTTCAAGACCGATGTTCTTTGTTCCTCCCACCTCCACCTCCACCCCTCTGCCTCAAGCCCACTGAACCAGAGGGATGAACCAGAGGGTTCATCTGAGTGGCACAGTAATTACGATAATAGCTGATACTTACATGGCAATTACTACGTGCCAGGATCTGTTGTAAGTGCTCTACGTGCATTAACTCATTTAACCTTCACACGACACTATGAGGTAGGGACTATTATTATCCTCATTTTACGAGTCTAGTGGGTCTCTGGAGTGGCTTACTCAGGGGAACCACAGTCAAAGGAAAAGGGGAGAGAAGAAATGCCCTTAGTTCAAGGACATTTACTCGGGATTGGAGGGATGAAGAGATTCTCGGCCCAGCTGTGTTTCTCAGTCAGCTTCTCCTGTGGTCTGGCTTCTCCTAATCCAGGCCTGGAACTAAGTTTTAAGGGAATGAGACAACAAGTAAAGCCTCTCTGGGTCCTTGCATAAGGAAAGTGCTCAGGGGGACTGGTGTCTCGCTCCAGTCTAGGAAACTCGGAGGACAAGAGGTCAGTGCACGACTTTGAGGAAGAGTAAGACGAGTCACTGCTTTGGTGAGGCCAAAAAAATGCTTAAGAATTTTTCATGGACTAGAGGTGGCCAACACAGGAGGGAGAGAGCTGGGCTAGCACTATGTGAAATTCCATGTAAGAAAACTGCCAGGGAGGATGGAGGGTCCCAGCAAAAAAAGTGCTTTTGAAACAAACTGCCAAAGAGAAGACTGAGGGCAAGGCCGCTGACCAGAGAAAGTCACTGGTAGTCCCTACGGGAGCCTCTAGAAGTCCACCCAAGTATGCACGCTCCAGAAGCAGCCTCAAACACTAGTGGACCAGAACATCACAGCTATGTCAGGGCAGTGCTTTTCAGGTAATGGCTTTCTAGGCCCCTTACTCTCCTCCCTCCTTGTCTCCCTGGTGGAAGGGTCAGAAACGGTATTAGCCATGCAGTAAGGGAAAGGTCTACAGGAGAGAAGGTGGATGCATGGTGATCCAGAACTCATCTTCCCATCTAAAACAAAATTCTCTGATTGTCTCAGAAATGGTATGCCTTCTCACCTGGGAGGTTTCATTCCTTTAGTTACAGACCCCTTTGCAGTATTAATCTTCCTTCTTTTGATTCATTACCATCATCTTATGGCTCTATTATTGTGTATGTTAAAAAAAAATCATCCCTTTACCCAACATCCTTTCCTCTGTCCCCTCACTTATGTCCTCTACAGGAGATGCAAATGTAACAAAAACATCCCACTTTATTAAGTGTCAATTAAATATCTATAATTAAAGAATTACAAGAATTCAGAAGGTTGGAGAGATCACTTTCAACAGGGTTGTTTTGAGAAAACTTTGGAGAAGATGCCAATGAAATAGAACTAAAACAAGAATAGAGATAAGTTAAAAGCTTGTAGGCAACAAGAATGATTTATATATGTAAAGCAAGGAAAAAGCAAGGGAGAGAATGGAGTTTGCCTATTAGTTTGGGCATAAACTCTCATATGAAGCTATGCCAAGGACTTTTCATCTTTACCAATTCTCTAATCTGCACGTGTACTTTATAGAAATCACAGTCCAAGTGCCTCTAGGATGTCTCCTAATTACATGCTTCCTTTCTAGGTGGTAACTCCACTCTAGAAACAAACTCACAGATGAGAATTTAGGGACAAATAAACATTATAATTAATGGCATTCTCTGAAATGGTGACTTAAGTAAACCTTCTTAATCTCCTCTGTCACTTGATATTTAATATTTATTTAGCACCGAGAGAATAAACTATTCTTTTCCTTTCAAAACAAAGTCACAAGACTATGCAACATGTTAATTTGCAAGGATTATTATTGCATTGCTCTTCTCAGTTTTTGTTCATTCCTTTTTCTCAAAGTTGCATGAGGCAAAAAAGCTAGATGAATTAGTGGGACTTCTAGTCTTAAAAGACAAAAAAATCACTTGGTTAAAATCAGAGAAGATATATTAACAGTTCCAGGGGAACTATTTCAAAAGTCATTTAAAAACTAAGCTAATTCAAAAAAGATTTACTTCAGAAAGACAGTTTATGCTTAAATGTATATGTAAAAATACCTTGGGCTCCATACTGAAGGCTGCTGCAGGTTACCTTTCGGCTACATTTTCATATCCTACTTTAACTATTTACAACCTAGGAGAACTGGGAACTATAGTTTAAAAAACAACAACCCAAAACCAGTATTTATAAGAGAAAATGAATGTCTTATTTAAAATGAACTGTAAAACAATGAGCTATAACATGTAAATCTTTAAGTATTGTAAATTAGGCAAAAACAAATATTGTAGACAGAAGGGAAGGGAGAGATAAACAAAACAAAAAAACCTCTAAACTGAGACATTAATCCAAATTCATATAACTGCTCTCCTAATGTGATAACAGAAAAAAAGGATATTTCAAACTCAAAGACTATAGTGTTTTACTATCTATACTAATAAAAAGGTAATATGCTAATTAGACCAGATGTCTTCCGGATGTCCTTTTGGACAAAGCCACAGCTGCGAGGGCTGAGGCAGACCTCCATGGCTGGGAGGGCCCATCACAGAGCCCCGGCCAGGTGGGCAGGGCCTCCCTCGGTGCAGCATTGATCAGAGCCCTGGCAGGGTGGGCAGGGCAGACAGGGCCTCCCTGTGGGCAACGATTAATGGCAGAGCCCTGGCCTGTTGGTAAGGGCCACCCTCTGCTCTGTGATTGATCCTAGAGCCCCAGAAGGGCGGGCAGGGCCTCCCTGTGGGCAGGGATCAATGGCGGAGCCCAGCCCAGGTGAGAAGGGCCTCCCTCTGTGGGAGATAGCTGGCAGGCCCCGCCCATCCACCACAGTGTCACTGGCTGGTGGCTTGGGCCTCCCTCTGTAGGGTGATGGATCACAGGGACCCCAGATTGATGCCCCAAAGAGGGTGGCCCTGCTCACCCTGCTGGGGCTTTGCGATTGATGGCAGCCAGCACAGAGGGAGGCCCTGCCCACCCTGCTGGGACTCTGGGATCAGTTGCAGAGGAGAGGGAGGCCCTTCCCACCAGGCCTGGGCTCCACCATTGATCCCCGCCCACAGGGAGGCCCTGCCCACCCTGCTGGGACTCTGGGATCAATTGCAGAGCAGAGGGAGGCCCTTCCTACCGGGCCCATTTTTGTTGTTTTGATATCATGTTTTTATATCATGTCTTTGTTTTTGTTACTGTTTATTTATAAATAAATTTATAAGCTGCAGGTGGGCAGTAAGAAGCAACGGGTCCTGGATTGTGAGAGGGTGCGGGTTGGGCTGAGGGACCCCCGCCCCATCCAGTTCACAAATGTCATGCACCAGGCCTCTAGTTCCAGAGCATAAAATTTCTCTCAAACTCTCATATGTACATGAGCCTAGAATTAGCTTCTCACATCCTAGGTTATTAATAATGTGTATATTTGAAAATAAATATATACAATATTTTAAAACAAAACCCTTCAAGAACATATATAAGCACTGACATTCAAGGGATTCAGACACCATGTAACATTTAGGATATATGGCATCTGGAAGATTAAACATTCTTGCTTGCTTGTTACTCTGAAGTCTTCATTATACACAGGATGCTTCTTGGGGGACCAAACCCAGTTTCATTTTCTCCAGTACTATAAATATTAACAACATAAAGAAACAAAGAGAACATAATTAGCTTCAATGTTCACAAAGAAAAATAAATAATAGTTGTCTAATCTAATAAAAGAGAAACATGCAAATTGACCATAACTTCGCTACGCCCACCAGCCAATCAGAGCGACTATATGCAAATTAACCCAACCAAGATGGCGACCAGCAGCTACGGAGCTGGAGCAAGCAGGAGGTTTGGTTGCCCCAGCGATGGAGGAAGCCAAGCTTTCCACCTGCCCTGGCCAGCTGTGGCTTCCACTAAAGGCAACAAAGTTTCAATTATCAAGATAAGTAAATCTCAGATACTTGCTTCCAGCCAGCCTCCACTGGGAGCTTGGGTGGCTGGGGGCCACCCTGCCTGCAAACAGCCATCGGCCCCTCACCCAGGCTGGCCACACCCTCATGGGGTGAGGGTCCCTGCTGGGTGGCTTGACCAGCCTGCAAACAACCCTCAGCCCCTCACCCAGGCTGGCCAGGCACCCCAACAGGACCCCCCTCCCTGAAAGGGGTGTGGCCAATCTGAAAATGGCCCTCAGCCCCTCACCCAGGCTGGCCAGGCACTCCAGCAGGGACCCCCACCCTGAAGGTGGTGTGGCCAGTCTGAAAACAGCCCTCAGCCCCTCTCTCAGGCTGGCCAGGCACCCCAGCGGGACCCCCATCCTGATCCGGGACACCCTTCAGGGCAAACCAGCCAGCCCCCACCCATGCATCAGGCATATAATAAAAGATATAATAAAAGGGTAATATGCAAATTGGCCCTAACGGGAGAATGACCAGAACAACCGCTGGACCAGTCACTATGAGGTGCACTGACTACCTCTCAGTCCCTTTCCCCAGCCAACAGCCTTCAATTGCCCGATGGTGAACAGGGAACCAGGGATGAGTATTAGGGGACGTGGAAAACACCAGGCCAAGGCCCCTGCCCTGCCAGTCTCCCCACACACAGAGGGCAACCCATAGCATGGGTGGGGCCAGCGATCTGGTCGTCAGGGCACTCTCACATGGGAGGAGCTCTGCTCAGCCACAAGCCAGGCTGATGGCTGCCAGTACAGTGGTGGTGGTGGGAGCCCCTCCTGCCTCCTTAGCAGCGCTAAGGATGTCCGACTGCAGCTTAGGCCTGGTCCCCGCTGGCAAGTGGACATCCCCTGAGGGCTCTTGGGCTCCCAGAGGGATGTCTGACTGCCAGCTTAGGCCCGATCCCCCCGGAGAGCGGGCCTACGCCAGCAGGTGGACATCCCCTGAGGGGTCCCAGACTGTGAGAAGGCACAGGCCGGGCTGACGGACCCCCCCTGAGTGCACACATTTTTGTGCACCAGGTCTCTAGAAGATTTATAAGATGCTTAGAAAAAGATAAACACATACTTTTTACAGAATAAAACAAACCTTAGCTTATTCTAGTCCTTTAAAAAACAATCTTCTGGCCGAAACCGGTTTGGCTCAGTGGATAGAGCGTCGGCCTGCGGACTGAAAGGTCCCAGGTTCGATTCCGGTCAAGGGCATGTACCTGGGTTGCGCGCACATCTCCGGCGGGGGATGTGCAGGAGGCAGCTGATCGATGTTTCTCTCTCATCGATGTTTCTAACTCTCTCTCTCCCTTTCTCTCTGTAAAAAATCAATAAAATATATTTAATAAAAACAACAACAAAAAAAAACAATCTTCTTGGTGGTTGGGGGGTCGACCTATGAACCAGGAGGTCATGGTTTAATTCCTGGTCAGGAAACATGCCCTGGTTGTGGGCTCAATCCCCACTTGGGGGGGGGGCGGCAGTGAGCATGCAGGAGGCAGTCAATCAATGACTCTCTCATCACTGATGTTTCTCTCTTCCTCTCTCTCTTTCATCTCAGAAATTACAGGAAAGGAAAATTAAAGAAATGATTAAAGACGCAAATAGGCTTTGATAACACAGTGGACACTGGGTGAGGGGGAAGTCCAAGCAGACTGACTTTGAGCTTAGGAAATTGTAAGTATTAGTAACTGTGTTAAGAAGTCAGGAAGGAGTTCACAAGGAGAGGCATGTGAGGGTGGAGAGGAAAGAGGCCCAATTTTTATGCTTGCTAACCATTTTCCTAATCATCATTATGAAATCTATAATTAAAACGGGTTTTAAATCTGAGGTTTTCCCTCATCAGACATTTGTATGAAAGATATTGTTAACAGCAAGTCTACAGATACACCTTTTCAGTGTGTGGTATGCATTGCTTTTCTCAGCCTCAAAATCCTTCCGTAAAACTTCACCATGCATCAAAACTTAACATGCGTTAAATCTCAGCTGGCATGGCCTCCACTAAACCCAAAGTCATTTGCAAGAAGGCCTTATAATCATCATTGATCACAACGGACGAAGACACCCATGTTGACATTCCACTAAGAAATGTAAGTGGAATGTTTGAGCTAACTGTGCATGAAACATGTTCACGTCAGATGGCCGGTGAGATAGCAAAAAAGGCTTCACCCCGCAAAACATCCCAGAAGAGTCAGGAGCTGGCATGAGGAGTGTGGCTCCATGAGGACTCTGGGCAGCAGGTGGAGAAGCGGGAGAAGTACGCTTCTCTCAGGGAACCGACCTGGGCAAACTTGTGAATCTGCTCCACCACTGCAGCAAACAGGGCGTGGACACTCTCGTCAATCAGACTCTGCATGTAATGCACCGCCTCCTCGTCCGACAGGTCCAGGCGGAATTTATCCTGAACCTATGAGGCCACAGTCTGTTAGTCTTCTGAACAAAGAGAACCAGGCATATTTCAAAGACATAGAATTAAATGGATGTAGACATTACACTGCAGTATGAGTTATTTCTATGCCAAAGAAATAATTCATGACTTATAAGGAGTTCTGAAAACTGCTCATTTGAGTGTGGAAGTTTACTGCTTTTGCTATATGCTCTTTTAAAAAATGTTTTTATTGATTGATAGGTTTTAGAAAGAGAGGAAGAAAGGACCAGTTATGTCAGAACTCAGAGTTTTTGATGCCCATTACTATTTTCCACAACCAGAGAAATTTCATCTCTGACACTGTTGGTGCCCTTTAGAAAGTTTATAATTCAAGTTTAAAAAGCTATACTGGGGCCGAAAAAACAAGGGGAAATGGGTTGTTAAATCTTTCATATATGAGAAGTAGACTGTGATGTTTGAGGATGTATAGAAATTACCTTTTTCACAGTTTTATCTGGTTCAAGAGCAATATCTGGAATGTTCGCATCCACCATCAAGGAAAATAAGTTCAAAATTAGATTAGAATACCTGAGGGTGATTGGGGAAAAAATAACAATTCATTAGAATTTTGCAGTTCTTCTCATATCAAAAACACTCCTAGAAATCGTGGTACCTGGATCTCTATAACAATTACTGTTACCCCGAAGGAAAATGGAATGTGAGACTATTCACCAGCTGTTTCAATGAAAAGCAAGCCTCGAAAAAATATCTTACTCTGGGATCTGAATATAATACCATTTCGAGGTCCTACACTATGGAACAAACTTTTGGAGTAATCGCCTAATAATCACTTTTTTTTCTTCAGTTTTCAGGGAGTACATTCTTTTTAATGGGGTGTAAGAGAAACCCTTTTATACCTAATTAGCATTTGGCTAAGCAATGAATATCTGCCTTTGCTAAATGACGACAAGGACCTGCCACTCTAAGACCACCTCAGTGCCAGGGGTAAATGCATGAAAGGGAAACACTGCCACCCCACTAATCATTCAGGAGTACCCTCCAGGGACACAAATCACCACTTTAGAAACCAATGACTGGGCTGAATAGAAGCAATGCTAAATGAAGGAGAAAATAGCTAGTACTCTATTAAAAATGAGCAAGATACTTAAATATCATCATCTTTGGATTATGCTGACCCCAACAGGAACTACAGGTTTATCCTCACCAATCCTCAAACTTTCACCTTACTCCACACAAAGAGAAGGAGTGCTACTATTCCTACTATTCCACATGCTCATCCAGAGGTGGAGCCCGGGAAGCACATCCACCTCCTGCCCAGACCCCCTCCTGGAACAGCCATGCTCTCAGTGGCCCCTCAGCACTCTAGTGATGAAAGGAGGTTCAGGTTAGACTTTGGAGGAGGGTATGAGTAGGACAACTTTGGTTTCAGAAGAAGGGCCAACACAGGTGCCCTGCAGTGTCCTCTCCAGGGCATGGAGGCCAGGATGCAGGAGGTGCAGAATCCTCATTTCAGCCATCTGCCTATCCATAGTGTGCAAAAGCTCAACCTGTGACATAAAAACCATTTACTGCTGGAACTGTGATGATAATGGAACTAAAGACAAAAATGACTATACACATAAACCTCAAATTACCTAATATAAATATTTTATATTGCCCATGAAAGCCAAGAGGGACTATAATGAAAATTTCTACCTTGATATAATCCTCTCATCAAATTAGGCCCTAACTCACCGATTCTCTTTGGGAAAAAAAAAAAGTATGATGGTATCAAAACAGTTTTAACTTAGCTTGAAGTTACTGGTTTCTTGTGAGAACTGATAAAAAGCATATCACAGATGTCACTTTACTTCTACTCAAATAATTTTATTCATTCAACCAACAAATATTTACCAAACACTCACTCTATGCACTGCTCTAGACACTAAGGACATAGTGTTGAACTGAACAATCAAGGCTCCTACATTCACGAAGCTCACATTCTGGAAGAGGGTGGGAGCTCATACAATAAGCTGTTTAAGAAAATAATGTCATACCTGGGTGACTAATACAAGATTTAAAAAATAAAGTAAAACAGGAAACGGTCAGAGATTGAGGGGTGGGGAGTCACCTTAAGGAAGTATGATTTTATTTTAAATGCACTGAGAAGCCACTGAGTTTAAAGAGTGGAACAGCACACTCAGATTTGCATTTCTGAAAGCTCACATTGGCCACCTTGTGGGGAATAACAATGGAGGCAGGGGAACTTTCAGACTCCAGGGTAAGAGAAACAATATGGAAGTGATGGAGCTATATTCTGGGGATGGAGTGGGTGACACACAAGTGGAGGTGGGGAGAGAGAACAGGGACTGAATCTCACAGAGGATTTAGCCTAAGGAATGGGCATGCGTGGTTACCTATCAAAATAATAATGAATGAAGAACAGGATTTAGGGCAGGGAATCAAGAATTCCATTTTAGACATACTGAGTTTGAGATGCCTACTAAATTCTCAGCAAAGATGTCAAGTAGGCAGTTAGGTATATCTCAGAGGAGCTCTCAGGGCTGATGGGATTAGTTTGATGTCATCAACATTTGGATCCCATTTAAAGTTACAAGTCTGGATTAAATGCTTATGGAGAGAGTTAAGGGGAAAAAGATCAGAACCGATAGTCTGATAATGAAAACTGAAGACATTCATTGTGTAAAGGTAGACAGAAGAGGACAGGAACCAGCAAAGAAGAAGTGACCAGTAAGAAACAAAGAAAACAGGAGAGAGGGCTACACCAAATATAAGAAAGGTTTTTAGAAACAGAGACATGGTCAGCTATACCAAAGATGCTAGGAGCAAAAATGGCAATAGATACACCTGCATATCTTGGTGAAATTAGTTTCAACAGCCGAGTAAGACTAGTAGCCTCACTAGAGAAGGCAAAGGAAGGAGGCAAGTAAGTGGAAACTGAAAACGGAACTTTCTGAAGTAGATGTTTGAACATCTCTATTTTTCTTGCTCTATAAAATGAATTTACCAAAATTCTCTCTGCAGAGCAAACCCACTTACCTTCGCAGGTGGAGGAAAGCTGTGTAGCACTGCTTCCGGAACTCCTGGTACTGCTCGCTCTGCGTGCCCCCCATGCCTTCCACCATCTCTTTATTCAGCTTCATTGGAGGAGGAAGAGGCTTCGGATCCCGACCCAAGATATACCCAAAGTCTATGTGGAAGAGTTTGCCTAGGTGTGGATAAGAAACACATTTGTTTCCATAATTATCTTAAGGAACTAGGAAGTGGATATGTCATACACTTGGTAAAGTGGTTTCTCTTCATAAAGTCTATCAGTTCATGACAAAGTCTAATAAATTGATGACCCTCTGATCCCAGGCTTGGGAGTAGCCTTCAGAGCATATCTTAGTTCATTAAACTCACATTCATCCAGCTAAAATTATGCTTAAAATCATCCCACAGTAATATTAAAAATTTAAATCCTACTTTTAGATCTCCATAATCCAGTTAGCAAAGCCTGAACAACTTCAAGATGTTAGTGTAAATAAGTATCTTGTAGCAAGTTTCTCATGCTAACATTTAAGCGAGCTACCCTTCATATAGCAGAAGACCATTTCTTTTAAGTATTTCTAGGACAAAGCCACAATCCCCTGACAAAAAAATCCCTTGTATTTCACATTATACTGTTAGCTTCTTCTGAAACATTTCCAACTAATCTGTGTCACTCGTTACCTGCAGACTAAGAAACCAAGCACAGTGTTCATGTCAGCCAAGAGCTGAATACAGCTGCACTGCCCATGAAGACAAACCTGGAGCAGTCATCTAAACTCACAGACCAGGTATGTAAGAATAGGATCGTTCGTTCACTTTAGAGCAGCGGTCGCCAACCTTTCGGACCTCACGGATCACCAGTAGTCCGTGGACCGCCAGTTGGCAACCGCTACTTTAGAGAATGCTTCACCACAGAATTCATAAACATCTTGTGATTTACAAGAAGTTGTATAAGGCAGGGATGCTACTATTTGTTTTCAAACATTTCACCTAAGTGTATATTAAAATTATTTATTTACTTATCTTTCTTCTCCACACTAAACTGTTAAAGAACCATTAAGAGTCTTATAATAAAAAACCTTGTTTCATTTATTTTTGTTATAGTTCTAAAACCTGGGATAATGGAGAGTCAATGTAGCTATTTTGCATTTATTTAACCAAAGTCATCTCAATTTCACATTTACAGCTTAGACAACTTTCAATAACATTGTTGATGTGAGAAATTTTCTTCTAGAAATCTGAAAGTTCTTAGAATGGGTCGTTTTGTTTTAAAATTTCCTGCCTTCATTTCCATGAAGATCTATAATAAAAACAAAAAAGGCCGCCATGGCCGGGTAGCTCAGTTGGATGAAGCACTGTCCTGTACACTAAAAGGCTGTTGGGTCGATTCCTGGTGAGGCAACCCATAGATACTTCTCTCTCACATATTTATCGCTCTCCCTAAAATCAATACAAACATATGCTTGGGTGAGGATTAAAAAAATAGTAACAATGAAAGAGGCCAAATCTGGATCCCCTGGATGCTACCTTACTAGTAGTACTTTAGTGTTATTTCAGTGTTTGTGATTGAGTTAGTATCCAACAGCAAGGCAACTTTAATTGTTGCAGGCTGATACTAACAGAAGCAGGATTAGTTCTACCTTGAAATTACATGGCAGCATCTTGACAATGGAGGTTACGAAGTAGGTTCAAGTAGAGAAAAGCGGTATAAGAATATTCACATGGGATATATTAACAACACTCTGAACTCAAACTTCCACTATATTATCTGCACCATCGTCACACTGCAAGTGACAACTTCAATTTACTTTTGTCATATTAATGTTGCTAGATTAAATTTTGCAAGTTTGTAACATGATTTAATTCATAAATCTGTTTTTTAGTTATGGAAAAGAACAGGTACAAGAAGTTAATACCAGGTTTTATGTGGTACATATTTAAGATTGTAAGATGCAGTATGTCAACACAGGGGGTTTCATTTCTGTTTAAAACAGTTTTGTGTATTACTCATGATTGAAAAACACATTTCAGAATTATAAAATAGGCTCCAGAGGTCTCTAAACATAATGAAATCAAGTTTTTGGAAAATCCCGAGTTCACCAAAGTCCCAAATGAAGTCCATGATTCCAAAAAGATAAAAAACTAGTTTTAGAATAAGACTTGGTAATTGCAGTACTCCCTGGGAAAGCATCATCTCCTAATCTCTAACTTTATTTTTTTATTTTATTTTTTTTAAATATATTTTATTGATTTTTTACAGAGAGGAAGGGAGAGAGATAGAGGGCCAGAAACATCGATGAGAGAGATACATCAATCTATTTTTATTGTTGGCTCTATGACATCTGTTTCCCCCCTTTTGCCTACCTCCACCCTGCCCCACCTCTCCTTCCCTGTGGCCATCACCACTCTGTAGTCCGTGTCTATGGGTTATGCATATACATTCTTTGGCTAATCCCTTTGCCTTCTTTCATCCAGTTCCCTCCCTCCTCTCTGACAGCTGTGAGTCTGTTCCACGTATCCATGCCTCTGTTTTTATTTTGTGACAGCATGGATGGACCCGGAGATAATGATGCTACATGAAATAAGCCAGTCAGAGAAAGACAAATACCACATGACCTCACCTACATGTTGAACCTAATGAACAAACTCAAAACAGAGGCATCTCCTAATCTCTTAAGGTTCAAGGGAATAGGCTATCTTTGAATTGTCTAGAATTTGGTGAAAAGTCCATGATCAACTTCTGTTAAGGATTTTCACTTCATTTTGTGCTTTATTCTCTTCCTGGAGTTACCATTTATTTTCTGCCTTGTTAGACAAACACCATTCTACCCTTATTTGTACAGGTATAGCTAAAATTCCCTTGGTTTTATTTAATTATGTAAGTGATGCTTTGTTTTGTTATGAGTATAATTCTTAATGGTACTCAGCAGTTGAGCAGATAACCTATCTGACCAAGCTTTGATTCAAAACTGCACCCTTAATGAATCACGACATCCCAGTATCAAAAGCTATCAGCCATCACACTTGGATTATTTAATGTGCTCTCTGCTTTTAATAGGAAACCCAGTCCCACTTTTCTTCATTTCATTACAGGCATTATTGGAATTCCAATGTCAACTATGCCTCGCTGCTTTCAAATGAAGAGTGTATTTCTATTCTTCTTACAAGAAAACTCTCAAGGAACAGGATTACTGCTTAATTATACGGCATAAAAGATTCAGTATCTAACAATGAAACCATTATTATGCTTTGCAAGTTCACAGAGTCATGTATTTTGAAAAGAGGCTATTAATGCTTCCAGAAAATGTACCTCTTAAAGTAGCAAAGGGAATGAATGGCTCTTTTAGTTAATACCTGTAAAGGAAACTTGTAAGGATTTAAAAAATGCACTTCAAAAAATTAAAAGTTTAATTAGGAAATTCAGGAAGATTATTCAAATCTATTACCTTAAATAGTCAGGAGGTAAAGTGTACATAAAACAAACTGAATGTTGATGTAATTATCTCCTATATATAAGGGGTAAGAGGATTAATTAAATTTTCCTGTTATTTGCATAAGTGACAAGAACTTATTTCTAAAATTATAGTTCAAGACATTTGTAGATCTTGGATTAAAGAGAATGTATACTACTGAAATTAATAATATTTAATAGAGTTTTTAAATTTCCATTTTGTCTATCTAATTAAAAAAAACATACAGCAATCATTAACATTTTCTTTATAAGATTTCAGTAAATACGAGAAGACTTCTTGATATTAAATATTCAAGAAACTTTCAAAAAGATCAGATTTTAAGTAATGTCTAAAAAGAAAACTATTCACATGAAGATAAGTCCTTCTCATTATTTAAATAACTAAAGTAATGATCAAAGACTTAAAAAGAATTTATGGCTAAAAAGTGAAGGTCTTATGGGCCTGGCTCTGTTTTGTATTGAGGAAAACCAATCAAATGGGTAGATAACAGTATGTCCAGAGTTTACAATGAAAGTTTAGACAGGAAACAGATTTTCCTGGAAACCCTAAGAATGGATAAAAATGACATTAAAAAACACACAAAAAAACCCTAGTTCATTTATTCATTGTAAAAGCACTTACTGAGTGCTTACTAAATACATAAAAGTGTTTATAGCCCTTTCTCTCATTTCCCAGAAAATAAACAAGCACATTGAGAAAATAAGTCTGTAGTTTTAGGTTTTGCAGCATACTTAATCTACCAAACTAACTTAAATACAAACAGCTGAGGAGGCACCACTATTTGAATAGTAACTAAGTTCTTTCCATATCAGAAAATTCTGAATATCATAAACTGTATTATGCCTTGAGGAAAAAAATAAGACAAATATAGTATATTTTTAAATATCAAGCTTTACCTTAAAACACAGAAAAGATAACATTAAATCAATGAGCAAACTGTTCTCTTCTACAACTTCCTATACTACTAAAATTAAGAGCCACTCAAAAGAGAATTTAAAGGCGGTAACTTTAAAATATTTGAAACTTAGAGTGGTAAAAAGAATTTTTTGAAATGTTAATTATTTCCTTATCTCTAAAACTAGAGGACTGATGCACAAAATTCATGCAAGGGGCTTGGCCCTTGCAGCCCCGGTGGCTGCCCCAGCTTCGTCTGGAAGGTTGTCCAGACGGTCGTCCAGTCTAATTAGCATTATGATGTTACTATAGATTATGATTCCAAATATCAGCTACATAGTCAAAAAATGGAAAGCATTCTTATTTCCTGATGGAAAAGCAAACTAAACCATAAAAGCTAGCCAACCTCAAGAATTACTTATTAATAGAGGCCCAATGAATGAAGATTCGTGCAAGAATAGGCCTTCCTTCCCTGGCTGCCGGCACCGGCTTCCCTCTGGCACCCGGGACCGGGGCTGCTTTGCTCCAGCTGCTGCCAGGCACCCGGGACTCGGGCTGCTTTGCTCTAGCCACTGCCCCCACCCCTGATGTGTGTCTGCTGGGGCTGGGGCGGCTTGCAGTCCCCTCCCGCCCATCTGCCCACACCACACAGCACCTCCTGAACGGTCATGATGCAGCATCCTCCTGAGCCAGTTGTGATGCCTGACTAATTTGCATATTACCACTTTATATATAGTGGCCTGGTGCACAAAAATTTGTGCACTCTGGGGGAAGCGGGGGGCGGTCCCTCAGCCCGGCCTGTGCCCTCTCG